TAGTAGGGGGGAGGAAGCGTTCAAGAACTGGGACCAGGGCATGACACCCCATCAGACTCGACTGGAAAGCACGCATAAAGGACCGCAAATAGACCCTGAACTCTTTAAAAGGCTTTTGTTGTTGTTCTTGTTCTTGCCTTTTTGTTGTTGCCTTTGTTGTTGTTGTAGCTATTGCTTTATTTTCTATTGCTGTTTCCGTGTACTAGGTCTTGTGTTGGTGCATATTGTTGTCACTGCATGTCTACCTGGAAGGGAGAGGTGGGATAAACAAGCTGTAAGAGAGAACAATGGGATGACAGTTCTGTGGGGACATTGAAGAGGGGGAGAAGGGGGAAATAAAGTGGGTGTTAACAAACTCAGGGACAAGGGAACAATAAGTGATCCAAAATCAGTGGCAAGAAGGGTGTAGGACGTCTGACAGGGCTGGATCAAGGACAATGTAACCGAGAGGAATTCCTGAAACCCAAATAAAAGCTGAACATGATAATGGGAGAAGAGGAAAGTACAAAGAAATAGAAGAAAGAACTAGAAGGCAAAGGGGATTCATAGAGATCTAAATACAGGCATATACAGATGTAAATATATTTATATACGATGGGGGGGGTAGATCTATGTACATATATATATATAGGTTTATTATTAAGGAAACAGATGGACAGTGGGCCCCTACTCAAGTGCTCCCTCAACACAATAGCCAAGTATTTCTAATGAGGCTAATATACAACAGTTGCATCCCCAAAGTTTGATTTTAGTTCCTTACAAGTTAATCTTCTACTTTCCCTGAATCCTTTTAAGAGACCATTAAAGGCATCACTACCTTCACCTGCAGGTAATATTGGTGAGAAAATAGGGAGAGCTATAATAGTTCTCAGATGCAAACAAACCAAAAAATAGACAGTAGAACTCAAGAGCCCCAGGAAACCTTGAATCATATGTGGAAAAGGAAAAAAAAAAAACCAAAATGCTTATTTCTCAGATTCCCCAGGGTCTGTGGTCTATGGAATTGGCACCCTTTCTCTGGTGTCAATCCTCAACTCCTAAATTAGCCTATCTTTTATGACACTTTGGATTCCAGGAAACTACACCCAAATGGCCTAATACCCCAAATTCAAATATATTTTATAAACCAAACCAAAAATCTACCACTAACAAGTTGATTCCGGCTCATAGTAATTCTATACATAGTTTCTGAAACTGTACACCTGCTGGGATCAAACCAGCTCCTCTTTCTCCAGTGGAGTGGCTGGTGACTTTGAACCTCTGACTTGTGGGGATCAGTCCAATGCTCACCGCAGAGACCCCTTGGTTAAGTCTTAGGACAAATACAAAGACACATCATCTGGACGAGGGAGAACATAAGCACGTGGCCAGACTGGTGGCCAAACGGGTCCATGGCGACATGGATAACTCTGGAAGATGGAAAGAAAAAGGAATTTCTCACAAAACCATGACGGCTATATGTCAATTCATCACTGCTGCAGGCAGGACTAAAGAATCGGGAAAGGGGTCATGATTGCAATAGACACACTACGGCAGATGAGAAAATGTCACATGCACTCATCGCATGCATCGGGTTTGGTGATTGTAGCGAAAGACCCAATTGAGGAATAAAAGCTAAACCCAAATCAGTTGCCTCAAGCCAACTTTGACTCATGTGAAGTAAGCACCAGACCTTTCTTCTGGTTTCCAAAAAAAAATATGCATCAAGGCATTTATTTTCCACATGACTGATTTTTCTCCCAAGGAGACATCATCACCACCCTCACCACCACCACCACCACCATCATCACCCACCATCATCATCACCATTATCATCACCAACATTACCGTTATCACCGCCATTTTCATCATCACCGTGATCACCATCCTACACCACCATCTGCACCACCATTACCATCCATCATCATCTATCGACATCACCATCACCACCATCACCATTATCCATCCGTCATCCTCATCCTCTTCCCCGCCGTTATCATCCATCAGCAGCAGCACCACGATCATCATCATGCTCACCGTCTTCTACACCACCACCACCACCATCATTGATCAGTATTATTATCACCATCATCATCACCCCAAGAATTTGCTGCTAACCTGGAGAAGAAAAGTAAGCTCTGAGCATGGCCAAGACAAACACTGATACTCTAGCAAGACAGCTCTGCACCCCTGCATTTGAGGTCTACAAGATCACAGATTGTTTCCTCACCTGGTCCTCGTGAATCCTGCCAGCGAAAGGTGCTATTCCATATCTCCCAGCCCCAGCCCACACTGCCCCAGAAGAGAAGCAGACTGAAGGTCCACATTGTTCTGTGGTTGTGTCGTTTGAAGGGGAACTTCTTTCCTCCCCTAGACTTTTAATAGCCAAGGGTGTGGGCAGAGGAGAGTGGAGCTAGGGTTGCTCAATGCTGCCAGAGCCTCGAAGCCATTTGTGCTGAGTTGTCACCAATATGTCAGCAGAACAGCGGGGAAAATCCCTGCTACCCCCCTTCACTGTGAAGAGAAGTTGGCTTGTCATTGTGTTTGGCTTGTCATTGTGTCTCTCCTGAACGCTTCTTTCCTTCTCAACCATCATCTGGCTCCCATTTTTTATCCCCTTCTTTCATTGCTCCCGTTAACTGGACTTGCCCCTCTCTTCCTCAGTGTCCCAGCCTCTCCTTCACTCTTCCCTCTCTTATCAATTTTTTTAATGAACCCTAATGACATATTGAGAGCAAGAGAGTCTGATAATATTCTGTTACCCAATTGTTTCCAATGACAAACATTTCCAGACCTTTCTTCTTAGTCTATCTTCAACTAGAAGCTCCTATAGGACACCAGTGCACTTTGGTAAACTTGCTGGTATTTGAAATACCAGGAACACATCATCCGGCATCCCAGGAAATTACAATCTATCACAGTGCTGCTGACTAACAAGCAAGTGGCAATATCTCTCCCACTAAACAGGAAATCCCATTCTCACTTGATGGCTCCTTACTGTTGTTTTCAGATGGCCTCTGACTTGTAGCAACCCTATGAAAACGTGCTGCAGTAAACCAAGAAGCCACAAAACATTGCTTGGTACAGTGCTTTTCAGCCTTATTTAATTTGCTTCTCTCACCTGCCTTAGTTGAAAGCTTAAAACGTGTCATTGGAGGATTCTTTTTGAGACAATAAAGGTATTGTGTCAAGCTGACTGAACCAGGGTTCTCAGTGGGTTGGCAGTTTATACCTAGATCTCTAAGATCTCCTGGAGGGCATGCAATATAAGTAGATGCTGTCAGAAAGCTTGCTGGCTTCTTGCTGCATCTGGATTGTGCATTTGGCGCATAGACCTATAGTTCTTTGAACTTGAGCCAACAAACTGCTGTATTGCTTGTTAATCCTAGGAGACATCAAAAGCCTATCATTTGACCTGCCAACCTTGAATTCATTTCCCTCTCCAAGTCTGTCACCTGACCCACAAATCCTGACTTTATCAGCTCCTGTAGCATCAGACCCATGGGCTTGGAGCTTTACCATTTTTATAGCTGTGTAAACCATTTCCTTGATATATATTTATCCTGATCTTTGGATTCTGATTATAGGAGGAGCCTGTCACCAAATGCAAAGCTGAACATTCATGATAATTTGCTACAATATACAGAGAAGCAATATTCTCCATCAGTAAAATGAAGATAATCATGTCTCCATAGAGTTTTAGGTTTAATGAGATTAAAGTTCACAAAACAGCATTTTACCTCACAGAGTATATGCTTAAGAATATTAACTATCATCAATGCAATTATTATCCTACTACTGCTGGGTGAGTTGGAGAAGTAACCTGTAGGTCAGTGGTTAAGGGTAAACCATTTTCTTCAAGCCAGAGACCACTGTTCTTTGTTCCAGGATATTACTTTGAGGACTAAGGTGCACCTGGTCCAAGCCCTGTTTTTTTTCCATTGCCTCATATGCAGGTGAAAGTTACACATTGAATAAGGAAGACCAAAGAATTGATGTATTTGGATTGTGGTACAAAAAAAATACCATGAACCAAAAGGACAAACCAATCTGTCTTGGAAGAAGTATGACCAGAGCGCTCCTTAGAAGCAAGGACAGCAAATCTTTGTCCTACTTTGTACATGTTGTTAAGAGAGACTAGTCCCTGGAGAAGCATATCATGCTTGGTAAGTAGATGGACAGTGAAAAAGAGGAAATTCCCTCAAACAAATGGATTGGCACAATGGCTGCAACAATGGGCTCAAGCACAGAAACAATTGTGATGATGGCACAAGACTGGGCCGTGCTTCCTTCTGTTGTACATAGGGTCTGTCTGAGTCGCAACCAACTTGATGACACTTAACAACATGATGTAATCTAACATGACGTAAACAAACTCCAGATGCCGTGTGCAGCAAAGCAGTTGTACTAGGATTAGGGACGAGTACAACCTCCTTTATTAGGTCAGGGCCCTACTGCAAATGAAAAGAACTGTCATCAGGGTGTGGACTCTGTAGAAACAATGGTCTCTTCTTGCTGATCTGAAGCTTCCCTCTCTCTCATCCACCTCCAAGTCTTTTGGCTCCAGCCCATGGCCCACCATATTGTCTGCCTACCCTGGGAGACTCATTAACAACCTGGGACATGCCGATGACATAACATTGCTAGCTGAAAGCAAAGAGGACTTGAGACACTTAATGATGAAGATTAAAGAATACTTATGTAGCTGTCAGTATGGATCCTATCTCAACTTAAAAGAAAAAAAAATCCTCACAATTGGTCCAATAAACAACATCATGGTAAACAGAGAAAAGACAGAAGTTGTCCAAGATACCATTTTTACTTGGATACACAATGTATGCCAATGGAAACAGTAGTCAAGAAATCAAATAACATATTATATTGGGTAAACCTGCTGCCTAAGACATCTTTAACAACAACAATGCAATGTACTGGAACCACCTTCCATGATTCATTCTGATCTAATAAAACCAAATTATCAGTTGAAGTCACGTCAGTATACTAAATCTAATGACTTCTGAATTCTAGAAAGAGCAGATTACAAGCACACACAGACACACTGACAGGGAAAATGGGATATGTAAGAATTGCTTCTAAATCAAAGAGCCCCAAAGAAATCTGGGAACTACCTAAAAAGAGGAAATCGACCCAGTAAGACCTTAATTTGGATGTTTATCTTCTAGAATTACGAGACTGTCAGTTGATGTTCTCTAAAGCCACTCACCTGTGGTGGCAGCACTAGGAAGCTAACACGATGAAATGTTCTACATCCTGAATATCATGGCCGTAGCTGCTCAAACTCAACAAATGTTACACTTTTCATGGACATTACTTATTGGACATTAGATTACTTCTCAACAAAATTGACAAGATTGCCTCCAAAATTAAAAGTACCCACTAATCTACCAAAGTAGCCCATGCAATACAATTTCAAGGGTTCCATGGGCTGGAAATGATGAAGTTAAAGGGCTAAATGGAAAATTTCAAAAGGCAGCTGAACAAGACAAAACCAAATATTATCATGAAATATGTAAAGACCTAGCGTTAGAAAAACAAAAAGGAAGAACACATTCAGCATATCTTAAACTGAAGGCACTCCAGGAAAACTTCAAACCTTGAGTTTCAACATTGAAATATGCTATGGGGAAAATATTGAATAAGGGAGGAAGAATAAAAAAGGAAAAGAATGCAGAATCCCTGTACTAAAAAAGTAGGTAACATGCCACCATTTCAGTAGGTAGCATTTGAACAAGAAAAAATGATATTGAAGTAAGAAATTCAAGCTGCCCTGAAAATATAGCAGGACTCCCAGACATTAGTAAACAACCAGGAATGAATGGAATACCAATTGATATGTTTCAAAAAGCTGGTGGAGCACTGGAAGGTCTTACTAGTCTATGCCAGAAAATTTGGAAGACAGATACTTGGCCAACTGACTGGAAAAGATCCATATTTTTGCCCATTCCAAAGAAAGGTGACCCAACCTTTCAGAATGTTCAAATTATAGAACAATATCATTAATATCACATACGAGTAATATTTTGCCGAAGATCATCCAACATCAGTTATAACAGTACATTGACAAGGAGATGCCATAAGTTCAGGCCAGATACAGAAGATGTAGAATAATAGATATCATTACTGACGTCAGATGAATTTTGGCTCAATGCAGAGTGTGTTAGTCTGGGTTGACTAGAGAAACAAATTCGTTGACACTCATATGAGTATAAGAAAGAGTTTTATATAAAAGAGCAATTGTAGACTTTCCAGATCAGTCCATATCAAGTCCATAAGTCCAATATTAGCTTATATGCCTGATATTAGTCCATAGATTCCTCTTTAAACTCATGCAGTGCACACAATGATGCCAAATGCAGGAAGATCACAGGCCAGTGGGTGGAAAGTCTTGTGGATTCAGTGCCAGTGGAAGCATCTCAATGCTGGCACGGGCCTCCATGTGCCAGCTCTCTGAGTGTCTCAACAGCAGGAAAGAGAAGGCAGAGTGACTGGGCCTGGCCTCCAGTGAGCTATTTATCTCCATCGCACTTCCAAATGAGGTCATCATGCTGCGACCTGATAGACAGGCTAGACTCCACCCCTTCACTCAAGTTGACCGGAGATTAGCCAACTGCCACACAGAAAAGACCAAGATGTTTACTTGTGTTTTTACTGACTATGTCAAGGCATTGGACTGTGTATATGATAACTAACTATAGATAGCCTTGAGAATATTACTAATTCCAGAATGCATAATTGTGCACAGGTAGAACTTATACCTGGATGAAGAAGCAGTTGTGTGAACAGAACAAGGAAATACTGCGTTGTTAAAAATAAGGAAGGGTGCCCATTGGGGTAGTATCCTCCGATCTGAATTCTGAGCTAGATTTATGAAGAAGAATGTGGCAGTAGGATTGGAGGAAGGTTGATTAGCAATCCTGTGATGTGTAGATTACCTACCCTAACTTGCTGAAAGTGAGGAGGACTTGAAGCACTTGCTGCTGAAAACCAGGGATTTCAGCCTTCAGTATGGATTACAATTCAATATTTTAAAAAGACCAAAATCCTCACAAGTGGACCAATAAGTAATATCATGATAAATGGAGAAAAGGTTGAAGTTCACAAGGATTTTGAGTTGCTTGGGTCCACAATCAATGCTCATGGGAGAAGCAGTCAAGAGATCAAAAGACATGTTGCGTTAGCTAAATCTGCTGTACAAAAGCTCCTTAAAGTATTGAAAACCAAGGATGTTTCTTGCACCTGACCCAAGAAATTTTATATGTGTGTGTGTGTGTGTGTGTATTTTTTTAATCCAATCCAGTCCTTCTTG